CCCTGAGAGGTATCAGCAATCTCTAACAGAATATAATCTATTTCTTTGTATCTGTCCCAAAATCCAGGTGCCCATGGGTGGGGCAAATCAATGGTTCTTTCCTCGGATCATTAATCTGCCTTTCAGTGGGGTGTTGATTTTGTAGTGAAGGCCCATATTATTGGCACATCGCCTCACCATCCAAATGAGTTCTCTTTCAGCATGGAATAGCACTGCACTAAAGTGACTCCCTTTTTTCATGATATGTATGCAAGGGCAGCTATGAATATGCTATTTTAAAGTTGCTAAACAAGTTTGTGTTGTCAGGTTCTTCCTTGTTTTTGTGTATGGAAGTGTAGGGTCTGTGGGGAATAACTGAAAGCTAAAGGTTTCTCTCTGCATGCTAAAGACAGAACGGCTGTCTGTTGAATGATTTTACAGCGAAACAAGTTAATTGTTTGGCAAGTGTAAATTAAAACACAAAAAAAGGATGCTAATTACTTGCCGAAAATTTTAAGCCTGCTGAGAAGTGCTACCTTGTTTACTCTGAGTATCCTCTTGACATCAGCATGGGGTTACTCATAATTAGATGCACATGTGTAAATACAATGATTAGATAGTCCCCCATAAACATAATTATCATATCTTCCAAAAAAAGAGTCGATGAAGATGGTCTCTAACCCTGTGGGGGTTTTGTTAAGATAAAAGCCCGACAATCTGCATGCCTTCATTCTACATGGGTAAACAATGAAGTATTAGAACATAATGGGCCCATGCAATCCCCAGTGAAATGATTGGTGGTTGCACAGCGATGCCATTTTGTGGATTGAGCCCAGTTATTCCTGAACTGCATCATAATAGCGGGGGTCAATTACAGTGATGACTCATTAGAGAGTATTAAAATAAGAATATACTTTCTTCACTACAATTAGCATCTCATCTATAAAGTTACAACAGCTTTTTGATGTCTAATTTCTTGAGTATTTCCAGGGTGTTTGGGGTAGTAGTCTTATATTAGTGCAGTAAGGTTATAATAAATTAACCTAACCATTATATTGTAGTATAACTTGCAAAATGTATCCATCATGTTGTTGTTTTTTCCCTTGGAAAGTTTCCAAAGACTTGCTATGAAACTGGGAATTTTATCTAATTAGTCATAATGAAGTTGATTGGTGCTTAATTTAGTACACAGTTTGTGGACATCTTTTCTTACCCTTTTGGGCCTATCAAACCATATCTGTGCAAGAAAACTGTTTGGCAGAAGAAGCAGCAGTTGTGTTTAAATTTGGCAAGTCAGACTAGCAAAACAGTGGCCTGCAAAACCAATTTCTCTCTGTGTACTAACATGAATCCCCTTCCCGTTTGTGCATTTGATGAAATGAGGGAGAATTTAGACCAGGGGTGTCGAACTCATTTGTTACGAGGGCCGGATCTGACATAAATGAGACCTTGTTGGACCGAGCCGTGTGTGTCATAAAATGTAATTAGATATAAGGAGACCTCCTAGTTGAAATGGATAGGATATACAGGCTTAAAGTTTTTGGCAAGTCATTAGCATCCTTTTTTGTGTTTTAATTTATACTTGCCAAACAATTAACTTATTTCGCTGTAAAATCATTCAACAGACAGCCGTTCTGTCTTTAGCATGCAGAGAGAAACCTTTAGCTTTCAGTTATTCCCCACAGACCCTACACTTCCATACACAAAAACAAAGACACAAGCTGGAAGCTTCGTTAATATGTATTGTGATTCTCTTAATTCTTTTGTATAACCTACTAGATTATTTTCTATGAATATATGTATGTAGCACTTTAAATATTGTATTCCACTTTGTGGATAATGGTATAAATGTCGATACTTTTGCATGATATAAATGTCTCCCCGGTTGTTTCATAAACTGTAATGCCAGGTAGTGGAGATATAAACTTTATAAAGGACACAAACACAAAGATATTTTTTTACTTAAAATCAAAACATGCTTAAAACATTAGCACTGTTGCAATATTTTGTTTATTGGACAGTATCTGATAACTGACACCTCTTGTTCTGAATTATTGCATCAAAATGTCTGAGCTGTTCCAATCTTGAGTGTGCTGTTCAAGTGTGTATCTGTAAGCTGCAAACCTACTTTTGAGTCTAGGACCCAGGTTAAAACATGAAATGGCTGAGCAAGTGAGAGAGTCTGGCAAAGCAAGCTATGATACAGCAGCAGCAGAACTGGAAGCAGGAGATGGCCAGTTCCACTGCGGGCCTGATAGAAGACCTCCAGGGGCCTGATCCAGCCCCTGGGCCGCATGTTTGACACCCCTGGTTTAGACTTTGCCTATGGAAACTGGCAGTGGTCTGTTTCATTGATTTTTTAAAATCAGTTACGTATGCATTCACTTGGGTTGCTATGCTGCAGTCCAGAGAGCCTGACTGACCCTTTAAAAGTTCTGAAAGAGTGGGAGAGAATTCAGCAGTTGTTCTCCTGGTTCCTTGTTACCTGCTTCTCCAGTATCTGCTGTAACAAACAAGTCTCAGCTGTAACTCTCAATGGGGGGAAGGAGGATATGGTAAGTCATATCTCAAACTGGGGCCTGGGAACCCCTGAAGGATTTGCGAGGGTAGTCCACAATTCCTTTGCAAGAACAGAGAGTGAGCCCCTCTTATGGCCACCTAGATAATGTCAGATTGGAATAGGGACTGTGACTCTCCCTCTTCAACGCTTGTTCAGCTTATCTATGTCTAGAAGTCAATAACCAATAATGAGCTTCATTACTGTATCTAGTACAAAGTCCCTTTCAATCAAGGGATGAGACTGGTTAGAACCTAGGTCAGGAGGACCTTTTAAGCTGTGGCGTTATAGAATTAACTACTCTCTGAGACCCAATTTCAGATAATATATACAGACAGGAAAATACATTTCTTAATTTTATTCTATTTTTCCTATATGGTTTTGAGGATGCAAGAGGATGAAAGTCTCCCCCGGTCTTGTATGCCATGTGGGTTGCCAGGTCTGTCGGACCCATGGGTGGGCGGATGAAGGGAGTGTTCCGGGAGCAGAAAGTGACGTGCCCAGAAATATGACATGCCTGTGTCACCCAGACGTTACGTAGGCATGTCAGGGGCAACACTCTGGTTTTTGGGCAAAACTCCATGGTAAAATTGTCTTCAAACCATAGAGCTTTGCCCAAAAACCAGAGCATTCCACTGATGTGCCTACGTCACTTCCAGGTGACGTAGGCACGTCACATTTACTTCCTGCTTCTTCCCTCCCTGCTTCCGGTAAGTTGTGTTTATTTCTGGCTGGGGGGGGGGGGATTTGGCGCATCCCTTCCTCCCACTTCATGATAGTCCTGAAGTGGGGGAGGGGCTCTAAACCAGGGGATCTCCCACCCACAGCTGGGGACTGGCAACTCTAATCATGCCACACACATTTTGAAAAGAGGCTGGCTGGCCTGTGGCAGTGCACATGAGGGAGGAGAGAAGGGCTCAGGGTTCACGAATTCTTAAAAGTAAAAACAGCTGCCCTTGGATTGCTGAAGTTTGAAAACTGCTGTGCCTAGTGACTGGCAGAGAAACTGGGCAGGAGGCTCATCATTTTCAATCTCTCACTAGTGTAGATCTATTTATGAACCAGATGATGGGATCTAGCAGCTATAGCTTGCTACATAAAAAGTCAAAGCAGATCAGCCAACTGAACATTTGATAGAAGGTGTTGCTCCAAGTAGTCTCTAGCAATGAAACTAATCTATTTTCTTTCTAAAGCCCAAACAAAAATTAGTGAAGCAGCATAAACTCGATGGCTTGAATTCTGCCAAAGCCCTCACTGACGGAAGGATTTCCCTCTGCAGAGTATGATTTGTTTGCCTCCCCGTTCCTGCTGTAGCCAGTCATGCCCCCTGCAACGCTGCTTTCTAGGGGGCAAGGAACTCCCAGGAGTTGCATAAGGGGGAAGTTGGAGAGGTCTATTATGGGGCAAGGGAGAATTGGCAAAAAAATGAACCCCTTTTCATACACAGCAATGATTGACAGCAGGGCTATTTTTGGGCAGGAACGCACAGGAACGGAGTTCCGGCTGGCTCCTGAGTTGGCCACGTCCAGCAGGAACTCATTAGCATAATAGGCCACACCCAACAGCAGAAACTCATTAGATTGGCTACATTAGGGGTGTGTGGCCTAACATGCAAAGGGGTTCCTGCTACAAAAAAAGCCCTGGGTTTTGACAACAAACAAGGTAAACAGAATAAGAAGCAAAAGGTGGGTGTGGCTGGATGAGCACACGTCTGGTAATATGGGGGTGTGGCCTAATAGGCTAATGCGCTGCTCTGTCAGGGGTGTGGCATAATATGGTAATGAGTTTCTGCTGTTGGGTGTGGCATATTATGCTAATGAGTTCCTGCTGGGCCTTTTTTTTCTACAAAAAAAGCCGTGATTGACAGTATCCAACTCATTTGGTGCACGTTTGCTTTATCGTGTTGGAAAACTGCATAATTTGATGTTTTTTTAAAAAAACCTAGATCTTATGTGTTCATTTCCCTTGCTATTCTTACGAATAAAAGCCCTACCACTCTGTACTTCGATTTTTTTACTTTATAATTTATCATTTTGCAGGAAGGAAGAATAACATCGACAGAATTTTAGAATTCATTGACATGACCCTGGAGATCATTGCAGTGGCTTATATTGGCTGTGTGTTGCAGCATCGGTCACTAATTTGCAGATATCACCAAGTGCTAAATTAAGCCTTTTGCATACCACTGCACACTGACATTAAGCATTCCTCAGAAGCAAGCAATAAGCAACAGATTTTTAAAATGCTGATGGACATTAACCTTGCTCCAAGTGAGGATTGCATTCAACAAATACGCAGACTGTACCACATTTAGACCTCTAGGATATCTTTACAGAAAATACTGTGTGTGTTAACATTGTACAGATCTCCCTCCTATTTCTAGCCTACGTTTTCCATGTACAGTAAGCAAAAAAGAAATCTTTGCAGCAATAAAAAATAAGTAATATTTTTCTTTAATTTTCAGAACTGACCTATGCCTGGATTTTCAATGAATATCCGTCTTTTGTGCACCAGGATAACCGTCGTTTTGTTTCTCAAGAAACTGGGAATTTGTACATTGCAAAAGTAGAGAAATCTGATGTGGGAAATTATACGTGTGTGGTGACAAACACTGTAACCAACAACAGAGTGCAGGGACCTCCTACGCCTTTAATTCTGAGAAATGATGGTAAGATTTCTTGTTCAATTCTGAGTGGGTTTCTCATCCTTTTTTTGGGGGGGGGGAGACGTAATTGTAAAATTCAGCAAACTCACTGGTGTTGTTCCAATTTGTTTAATAAACCCATCACTTGCTGCATTCAAGTAGCACCACCCATCTTTGTTCTCCAAGGCACAGCTGTGATGCATGTTTATCAGGAAGCCCTCACTTTTGGCTGGTATGTATTTATGTTATTCATAGTTTGCCTTTCTCACTGAGACTCAAGGCAGATTACACAGTGTAAATCAATGCAGTCAATAGGATGGGACACCCAATAAGCAATGTAATCAGATTAGGATTGTGGAAATTAAAATCAAGTAACAGTCTGGAACAAAGACTAAGTATTTATACGGTATATTCAATGGTGCAGAGATTACGTAATAGGATATTACATACAGTAACAGGGCATACTGTACACATTAGTATAGTCCACGATTCCTTTCCCTTTATTAAAACATTCTTCCTGAACCATTCTGTTATAATTATGCCCTGTTGCCTTTGTAAAAATGCCCTGCTGAATAATTCAGTATGGCATGGTATAACTGCATGTTGCACCATACCATACTGAATTATTCAGGAGAGCATTTTTAGAGAAAGATTCAGAGAAGGCATAGCAGCTCTACGCACCACTGATGACAGACCACACCAGCCCTCACATTTGTTATGTGCACATGCTCGAACATGAACATAGCACCCATGTAAATACGAGGTGTAGATTCCATTCCTGTGATTGGGAATGAATGTTCTCAGTTGAGGGCATGAAGTCTAGGCATGTATACTGCTCCTACATGCAGTGAAGATATGAAAGAGGTAAAGGTACCCTGTGGTCAGTGTTCCCTCTAAGCTAAGTTAGTGTGAGCTAGCTCACCGTTTTTAGCCTCCAGCTCACACATTTTTGTCTTAGTTTAGGAAGGAGGGCTTCAGAGTGAACTAATTTATGCAGTGGCCAAATCGCTTGCTCACAACTTTAATGCCAGTAGCTCACAAAGTAGAATTTTTTGCTCACAAGACTCCACAGCTTAGAGGGAGCACTGCCTGTGGTTGGTGAAAAATGGGAGGGGGCAGTGCCCTTGGTCTCCCTTTCCTTTTACGTGCACTGGGTGATCCTATGTGCTTATCAATAGAGAAAGCCTTCATCATGGCGCCTGTATTTAGGATGTGATTCAGTAACTATAGTATTGTTACAAAAGTTCACATTTATATTGCCCTTCAGATTGTTCAAAGAGCTTCCTATCCTACCTTCGTTAGTTTTTTAAAAAATGTGTATTATAGGTGTGTACTCATAGAGTTCTGGAGGTGCAATAGAAGAGCAATGGGAGATCTGAATTTTGTACAATGACTGTGCTATTCTCATTATGGACCTGAGTTATTTTCTTCCCTTGCATCACTGAGAATCGTAGAGTTTACTTCAGTGAAAGCAAATCTGGGATGTACTTGACGTGACACTTGAAATTATGCCTTAACGTGATGAGTGCTTATGGTGGTCGGTTACTTTAAAGTATGCTACTAAGAACTGTTTCTCTAAGGAATCCTTGCTTTGAACCCACTCTAGAATATTTATGGGAACCAATTGCCTTTCTGAAGCCATCCACACAAATATACTTAAAACACATTCCAGTGTTTATTATAGATATGCTGCAAAACACTCTTGAGTTAAAGAGCAGCATCCATGATCACAAGATGATCAGGTTTCCCTGCGGCTGAACGGCTCAGTATAGCTGAAGACATATTATTTTTTTTAAACTAAAACAGCCTGAGCATGCTTTTTAAAATATTCATTTTCTAGTTCTCTATTTCTTACTGCTCGCACATTTAAATACAGTTCACTCTGGCTGCCCATTCACTTCAGTACATCAAGAGGGTATATTGCAGGACTTGTTCTTTCAGAAAAGCAAAGGAGAGGGGGAACTTAATGAATTAAATGCAAACTATAAAGAACATATGTTGTAGCAGGCTGACAGATACATTTGGATTCCTTTTTTTGGGGGGGGGGGTTAATTGAGTTTGGCATGTCCAGTATATCTCAATATATATGACAGATTATTTTCATTAGAAAATTTCATCATTAAATTAGCAGATTAAGAGGCAAATTCATCAATGTTTAATGTCCCAATTACATGACTAAGTGTTACTTAGAGAAATTTCATAATGTTCCTCTCCCATTTAACATAAAATATACTGAGCTGTGTAATTCATCACTTTTGCTGGTAATCATGAAGTTTAGAACTAGTTTCCTCTCTTAATCATGATAGGTACAGAAGGGTAGTTTTGTAATAAAAAGATATGCATATTTACTGGAAAAAAATAGATTACCAGGGGGGGGATCATCTTTTCCACCTGCCTTCTGCATCAGTGATACAAATATTGGGGCATCTTTCTATCTCATCAATGTGTACGGCTCTCGGAGAGGGGAGATATCACCTTGATATGAAAACGATGCAAAACAGTAGATGAGATATCAATAATAATTGTCGTTGTTGTTGTGTGCCATCACATTCCAGCTGATGTATGGTGACCTCAGGACCATGAGGCTTTCAAGGCAGGAGATGAGCAGAGTTGATTTGCCATTGTCTTCCTCTGCACAGCAACCCCAGTCTTCCTTGGCAGTCTCCCATCAAAGTACTAACTGTAGGTAACCCTGTTTAGCTTCCAAGTTCTGACAAGATCAGGCTAGTCAGAGCTATTCAGGCTGCTGTGATGTTCTTAATTAGACTGTATTCTATTGATGCAGGAGAAGGCATTCCAGATAGATAAACATTTTCAGTAGACATAAAGGAAACGTAACCAGCCAGAGGGGGAGATGCAAATTTGTTTTAAAATGCCAATATTTGAAATTACTTCAAATAGAAAGCATGATTTTACCATTCAGCAAGGAAATTAATTTTCGTTTCCAAACCCTTACCTTTTTAAATATGTCATATTTATAGGCTTCTTTAGACAAGCCTCACAAAACATACATAAATCTGTGCTTTGGCCTTTGTTCCTATCTGTCTTCATCGTTTTCCTCAGTACTGACTGGCGTAGTGAGGGATGCCAAAGGTAACAAATTAATATCTTACTGAATTCTGTACCAGTTACAAGCCTTACATTTTCCAGACTAGTTTTGCAAGAAAAGCTTGCCCCGTTTCATTCACCACATTTGTTGTCCCGTCTGCTCTTTCTCTTTCTCCTCTTACTGTGCAAGACCTTGTATCTATCAATAATGGAGTTTCATTTTCCTTCTAATTCTGGATTTTAACCTGCCTCTTGAGGCTTCTAAATTGTAAAACTTCAGATGTTACTTTACTGCTTTTTGAAAGCAATAGTTCATTCTCTTGTTGGCTTAAACTGGGCTGTTTCTTTGTATTGTATTGCGCAATCAGAAAGTGCTCCTTAACCCACTGGTCAAGCATTTTCAATACCAGGTAGCATTTTCTCCTCTGGAGAACTAAAATATATCAAAAGGAGAGACAGCTAAGCAGTGGTAAAAGTAGACTTTGTTTAGTCAGTTCCCCAGATCAATATTAGACCAGTTTGTGGCTCCTCTGTAGAGACAGTATTTATTTCATTGTGACAAGAAGAGGATAAAAGGCAATCTGTGTGGTATAAAATCTTTTAGAAGTAGTCTTTGCTCTTGTCTTTCCATATTAGGAATTCTGTTCTTTAGTCTCCCTTTAATATCCTGTCAGTCAGACCTCAGTTAGTGGGTAAGTGCTGATAGTAACCATTAGGCGGAGAAAGAGTAGCAATGGAGAGTAGAGCCATAGCTTTAAAAGTGCCTTACATTTTGTTCTCTGTCCCTTTGGTTGAAGTACTCCTATTACCTTTTTAATGCATAGAACAACTCCTTGGCATCGGTTTAGTGTTGGTTTCCCATTTATATTTATTCCAGACATGGAAATAACAAAATCAAAACCAACTAAGAAGCTGGGGATTCTGTGACTCAACAAAAGGGTGACGCTCTAGGAAGCAAGCCAGCTACAAGGGGAAGTCAGAGGGATTTGGGATGCTCCTTTTGTGGGATTTGGAGCAGCAGAAATTAGGATTCATAGCTGGATGGATACTGAAGTGAGAAAGAGGCATGGGAATTTCAGGTGGAATTATTGAGTGACCAGATTGGTAGACCTGGTTGGGTTGGTCCTAGACAGCAGTGGCAGTAGCAGCAGTTTGTTGATATTCTCCTACATTCAGGATTAAATTAATGGAATAGGTCAAATGAAGAGGGGAGTTCTGTAGCCTTAGGTTATTGACCAGGAAACTCAAATCAATCAAGTGTGAGGGAGCTTCTGAAAGCTGAGAACGAAAAGCCTTCCAGTGTGCTCTTTGGAGCATTCCAGCAGTTTGGCTACTCGCAGGTGAGTTCATCCAGAGGAAATTATTGCATTCAAGGGCTGTCAACTGGATTATTTTACCCAGACTTCCGGCATCTAAATTAGAGGGTCTTTGAGATGCAGAAATATAGAGATCCTATTGGGGTGGCCAGCCTCACTCAGAACAGAGGAGTTGCCTTGCTTGTTAATTTTCTAGCAGCTAGCCCACCGGTTTTTTCTTGTTGTTGTTGTTGTTTAAATGGCCTGTGTTTTTGTTTTCCTGGTTGGTTGGTTGGCAAATCTGTTACTGTCTCCCACACATTTCTGTGATTGAGGTGAGGTAGCCATATTCTTTGCAGCCATGTTGGCTTTCTTTTATGGTCCCCCCCCTTAAATTGCCTGTAGATTCTACTCATTTCTAGCTCATGAACCAAGGAAATACCAGAGAATGTGAAGAGGATAACCGCATGGCACCGATCTTGCTCTAGTTGCGGTTTTATTCAGTTTTCCATAGCATTTTCTGTGATTTTATCTTGAGCCTGATCTTAGGAGAACGCTGTTGTGAGCAGTCCAGAAATTATTCTAGAGGCCTCAGGAGTCTGTGTAAAGCTGATATGAAATGGGATTCTCCCTGTAATGCTGCAGCAAGGGGGAAAAAGAGAGGATGGTGCTCTCATCTTT